GCTTCCGCCGCTCCAGCCGCGCGTGCGCGCTCCCGGCGCCCCGGCGGGCGGGACCGCGCCCGGCAGGGAGGGAGCGGCGGAGGCACAGCCGCCCTCGGAACCCGCCCGGCTCGACCTTGCTGCTCCTTCGGGCCGGGGCGGCCTGGGCGTCTCGTCTCGGATGCGAGAGGCATTGGCGGGGCGGGCACGGCGGGGGTCTGTACCCTGCCCGGTGTAAAACCCGTGTGACCGAAACGCCTGTGGCTAAGCAGCGGCTGTTCCTCGGGGTTGGAGCTCGCTGTCACGGGCCCGTTCATGAGCGCAGACTTTGGTCAGCATGAGCCTTTCTCAGTCTGTCCTTTCTGCAGCATCCCCCTGCAATCCCTGACAAAACGTGACCGCTGCGGGTGCATGAGGCCTCTGCCTCAATCTCCAGACTGCTGCTAGGAGAATCTGGCCTCATAGTATGAAGTTGTATGAACTCTAGTAAAAACTCGTGCTAGCCTTCTTAAGAGATACTTATTTTTCCTYGTGTACTGCATGACCATGTTTCATGATAACTGAAGGGCCCCAGCTCGCTGCAAGGAGGAAGACATCCCCTACCTTGCAGATGAGGATCTTTTGTGTCTCTGAATCTTAAAGGCATTCATGAAGAAGAAAGGTGCCCCTTGGACTTTACATCTTTTGATGCAAAGACAGCATCAAAATCACAGTCCTTTCAACACCCCTGACAAAACCRTTCTGTTATCTGGCATCATAGGTAGCTGTAGCAAGACCAACTCCAAGGACAATCAACAAAGAATCATGTGTGTGGTGACTGCCATAGATTTATTGATGTTTTACAACATAATAGCATGAATATGGGTTACATAGAGAGTGGTCAAATCATGTATGTGAATGCATGGAAGGTATAAAAACCACTTGTTAAACACATTCACTGTGGACYGACCTGAATGGGATACTTCATGCTCATAAATAAAGAATTACTATTGTAATTCTGTGCTTTTCATCCTGTCTTCTCTCCTCCATCAGTACAGAGAGGTGCAATACTTTCATGATATTCAGGTACCCTGCTGTGCTGTGCCCCTTGCTCACATAGGGYCCTTAGGTGACCACAGAAGCCAATCTTTGTTTTAAAATGATAATGCAGACCACAAAGGATTAGCTGTGGCTAAGAGCCACAGACAGCTTGTAATGGACAAAATTTTCAGTGTTCCCAGCTGGGAATCATGCCTTGAGCACCCACTGCTGATGAACAYGTATGATCTCTTGGCTACCTAAAGGTATCCCATCTGTCTGAGTGGCATAGTTCCCACTGTAAATTGATGGGCTCTCACCCTGGAGCATTTTTCCTTTGCAATGATGGATGAAATGGATAAAGGGTAATTTTGTGAACACCACCAATGCAGAAAACGCTTCTTTTTTTTTCCAACCATATTCTTCCTAAAACTTAACCATAATGTGATTATTCTGGGAAAAAAAAATAACCCAAATAGTCAGGTTAGTGTTCAGGTAGTTTTCAAGCTTTTCTCAAGAATTTTGGACCTTGTTCTGGTTTGTATGTCCACTGTCTTCTGTTACACAGGGCAATTGTTAATGTTGTTCAACCTAAAGTTGCTTTGACCTGAATATAGATATTCATAGCAGAAACTGGAGGTTGAAACTGGAAGGACAAGGAAGTATGTTCCAGGTAAACCAGAAGAGAGCAGTTCTCAAGAACAACCTATATATCTCCATAGGAACAGGTAACACTGAAAATAATAGACATTAATTAGACTGTTAAAAACAAGGGGGAAAGAATAACTGAAAAAGTTGTTGTTTTATAAATATTTAWAAATATCAAAAAGCAGCCTCTGGGTCTATTCCATGACAAATTTCTTATATGTATTTATGCATGTATGTAAAAGACCTAATAAGCTGAGAAAACTTTTCACTGATTTGAAGAATAAATTTTGATGGGGGAAAAAACCAAAACAGTCAAGAAGTTTAAAGGAAACCATGGGCTTGGGAAGTATAATGGAAATATAAGCAAAGAAAATAGTATGATCAAAGAAAGCTTCATGTAGAATGAAAAAGAAYCAGTATTATTATTTTCTATTTGAATACTTAGATTTTACATTTCTGTAGTGTTATGCTGATAATGGCCAGTCTTCAGACCTGTAGTCTGGCCAGACAGGTTGTATTTTTCTCTTTTCTACTTAGGGATGCCCAGAGTGATCGCAGGTTGCGGAACAAGGGCAGTGGTCATTTCTGGCTTAGTTGGCAGGACAGCAGTCACTTTTTGTTAATGCTTTTTTTGAGGGAGCACATTGCTGGASGAAAAGCAGGCAGTTGTATGCTGGACTTTCCAATTGAAAAGTCTTGGCTTGTAGATGTTACCTGACTCTTGCCAGAATATCAGATCCTGATAGAAAATGAGTCTTTGTGGTGAACTCCACTCCTAATAAAAAACATACCTATGGGAAATTCTGACTTTGCATAATATGGATTTTACATAAAATCCAATATRGATGTATAACACAAAGATTATTAGAGGTCTGCAAAATTATTCACCTTTTTCAGTGCTGAATGTTGCACAATGGCRTAGAATTCCTCTTGGAGTTTCTGATGTCTGTGTTGTCTTGTTGTTGCTGTTTATAAATTACCACAGGAGCCACCAGCTGTCGTCCTATAAATTTTATTGGCACTCAGTAAATATTAAATCAGCCTGCTAAAATCAAGCCATGTGCAGTAACAGCTGAGGCTCTGCTATAGAGTGCACATGCAGGAGAGAGGTGTGTGATTCCCACGATTCTTACGGCTTATAAGCCCGTTGCTTCATGAGACTGCTTTCCAGGATTCATTTTGAGCTCAATTGTGCCCCTTGACTAATGTGCAGAATGGGCRTTCTTTGTGCACAGGTACATCCTGAGCTGACAAATCGGCCTTCTCAGCAGTATTTCAGTTTCTCAGCAGTATTCAGTTTTAGTCCTTCTAAAATGTGCAATTTTCCTGCAGAAACACTTCATTGCTCACTTTCATGTAGAAAACTCTAGAATGGGAGCAGAATTCTTGATGTCTTGAAGATCTATGCCATGAAGGCAAATGTCTGTGTCAATGAAACAGCATGCTGTAACAAAACCTGTTGTGACCCAGAAGTTTTGTCAGTCGCCATGTAATATACTGAGGATGAGGCTGTAGATGTCAAAGGAAGTTGTGTCTCAGGCTCAATTTTCTCTTTCTTCATAATCAGAAAAATCAAAGGCAAGGTATGTTTTCCATACGGTGAAGATACGGTGAAAGCTACTAATCCTGCAACCCAGATAAATTACATGGGGTATTAAGGAAGTAGTCTCTGTAGGTCTCTTTAGGGGTACGGGCAGTAGTCTAATTTAGGGTGTTAATTTTCATCTTAGGCACTTCAGCAGTGTGGCAAGTTCTGCTTGGATAGTGTCCAGCTGCAGATGCCCCAGTATTACCTCTTCAAATGCCTCTCCTCCTCCAAGAGTTGCTGTCTAAAGACRAGGCAGAGTAACAGACTGCTTAAATGTTCCACATCATTGCAATGTGAGATGAGATTGAAGAAGCTTCAGCAGATACTCCCTTGTCAGAAGAAAGCTTAAGTACATGCCTGCTCAGTTTGAACCACCTAACTGTGGGCTGCAGCCACCAGCAGAACATCAGATTAAATGACTGGTAAAAGCAGGAAAATGAAAATGCCTGAGAAAAGCCCATAGAAAAACATCAGGCTAGCCCTGACATTTTTTTCTTTATTATTATTATTATTATTATTATTTAGCTTCTGGTTAATTTTTTACTTTTCAAGTTAAAATTATTTTTGGGGATGCCATGGAGCCTGAGCCACTGTAAACAGGACAGTTTTGTTCTCAATGAGGATAGTTAGTCTTTTATGAATATTCTTGCAATAGGGTCAGYAGAATCCCCATTCAGTTCAGAATCCCCATTCTTTCTCACTTGAACAGAGGAAGTGTGCACAGGTGTCAGGGAATGATTCYGGGTTAACTGAAGTTGGGAGTTACATCCCAGATATTCAAGGAGTTAGATTTAGCACAATAGAAAATGCAAAATATTTGTAATTCATTACCAGTGTTTCCTGTTTCTACTTGTAAACTGTCTGATGGAGGACCCAAAGTAGCCCCAACTTCACACCTCTTAAAAATGCACCCTCTGCACAGCACATACTTCTGGGTGCATTGTGCAGGATTTGTTGCTCAAGATGGATCCCTACGAATCTGATGGGATTCAACCAAAAATCATCTAAGGGCTGGCTGATGTCATTGCAAAGCCTCTCTCAATGATTTTAGAGCAGTCTTGGGAATCCAGAACAGTCCCAGCTGACTGGAAGCTGGAGAATATTGTCTAATTTTTAAGAAGGGCAAGACAGAGGATCCCAGAAATCACAGTCCTGTCAGTCTCACTTCAGTGCCTGGTAAAGTTATAGAGAAGATTATTGTGGGAGGTATTTAAGACACCTGAAGGACACCGCAGTCATTKGTCACAGCCAGCAAATCTCCATGAGGAAAATTCCTGCTTCYCAAACCTGATTTCCTTTTATGACAAGGTAACACACTCCGTTGATCGAGGGGAGCCAGTGGATGTGATCCTTTGGGATTTCAGTAAAGCTTTTGATATTGTCTCTCACAGGATCCTTCTGGACAAAATGTGCAGCACAGCTGGATAAACACAACATGTGGGGGTGAGCAGCGGCTCACGAGTCGGACACAAGGGGTTACAATGAGTGGGGTGACAATGACAGCCTGGGGATCTGTCACTGGTGGGGCTCCACAGGGCTCCATCCTCAGCCCTGTGCTCTTCCACATCTTCATAAATAACTTGGATGCACGACTGGGAGGGACACTGAGAAGGTTCACAGGTGATACAAAATTGGGAGGAGCTGTTGGCTCTCTCAAGGGCAGGGAGGCCCCACAGAGAGACCTCAACAAACCAGGGGTCAGGGCAATCACCAGCCATGTGAAATTCAACACAAGGTGCCGTTTTTTGCACCTGGGATGGGGCAGCCCTGGATGTACGGACAGACTGGGGAGTGAGGTGCTGGAGAGCAGCACCATGGAAAGGGACCTGGGGGTCCTGGTCAGTGGCCAGTTGACCATGAGCCATTGTGCCCTGGCAGCCAGGAGGGCCAAGCGTGTCCTGGGGGGCATCAGGCACAGCATCACAGCCGGGCAMGGGAGGGGATTGTCCCGCTCTGCTCTGACCTGGGGCGGTCTCACCTTGAGTATGGCGTACTCTTTTAKTCACCTTAATATGAGAAATATATTATTAGAGAGCGTCCAGAGGAAGGCAACAAAAATAGTGAAGGGCCTTGAGGAGAAACCATATGAGGAACACCTGAGTTCACTTGGTTTGTTCAGTCTGCAGAAGAGAAGACTGAGGGGAGACCTCATTTTGGTTGACAGCTTCCTTGTGAAGGAAAAGGGAGGGGCAGACTCTCTTCTCATCTCTGTGGTGACCAGAGACAGTAAATGGCTTGAAGCTGAGTCAGGGGAGGTTTAGGTTGGACATTTGGAAAGGTTCTTCCTCCAGAGGGTGGTTGGGCTCTGGAAAAGGCTCCCCAGGGAAGTGGTCACAGCATCAGTCTGACAGAGTTCGAGAAGCATTTGGACAATGCTCTCATGCACATTGTGTGGCTCTTGGGGAYAGTGCTGTGCAGGGCCAGGAACTGGACTCAATGATCCTTATGGGTCCCTTCCAACTCAGTATACTTTGTGTTTTTGTGATCCTAAACAAGATTATGCAGCTGTACAGACTGGCAGAGAGCTTCTATCTGAGTAAGGAGTTTTGTTTTGGTCTTGCAGCAAGGAATGAGTGAGTACATTTAGGAAAAAGCACTGCAAGAGATTTCACCACTTGCCAGTAAAATCTAGTCAGCTGAGAACCATGGGGTTAGTCGTGAGTGTTTCATAGATGGTGAACAAAGTACCAAGCACAGCATGAAGTGCAGCTTCAGAGACTTTTCCCTGGACTATATGGTTGTGCAGAATTCTGTAAGTGTTTGATGTAACCCTGGTGTTTGATGTATTTACAGGCATGGTTGCATTAAACACACACTTATAAGTATAGCCTGGAGTGAAAATTTATTTTGCTAAAGCAATACAAAAAAAAAAAAAAAAAAAAAAAAAAAAACCAAACAAACCAGAAAAAACCCAGCACTGTTCTTCAATTGTTTTCTACTTAAAGTACACCCATTTGGAAAAGAGACAGTAGGACAAATGAAATGGCAGAAGCATAGAGATTCTGCTTTGGAATTGATCTGAATTTTCAGAGAGCTCTGCAACTATTGCTTAGTCTTGTTCTGTGAGATAGGTTTGCACAAGGAGTGCTCTAAAATAGGTCACTTACACTGTTAGCATAGGTGCACTGGAAGAGCTTTCGTTACAGAAAGCATGCAAGCTCTGAGCAGACAAAACTAGAGTTTGTTGATATAATGTTACTACTGAAAGCATCCATGTAGTGTTACAGATCATATCCCTCACCTTTCTGATCCATAGTGTTCTGCTTGTAGGGGCCATCACTATGCTGAGAGACCAAARTCCTGTTAGCCCCTGGATACAACATTTTCCTAATATGGATTTTTTAAAGGCTGAGAAATCTGATCCAATTAACACATTGATTGATTTTGCAGAATACTGTGCTAATTACATGCAACCAGTCATTGCTGGGTTAATTAAACATGCATCCAAAAAACCTACAGCACTAATCTAATTAGCAATTACTACAGCTGTCATTACCTCTTTTCACCTATTTTTAAGCTGTGTAAATTCACACTAAGAATCTCATCCTGTGAACTCCTCACATGAACAGCTTTCTTTGACTGCAATAATGCTTCAGCATGGAGAAGGGGCTTTAAAAATTAGGCTGAATACTTTGCAGTCCACAATATGATTTCAGTTCAGCCATCCTCATAATAAACTCATAGCAGATTATTTCAAAATTACAAAAYTGGAAGATTTTTCTTTTTAATTGACACACTATTTTACTGGGAGCATATGTAGGTCCTACCTTCAAGTGGTTATCTGTAAGTATCAAACCTAAAAACCTATTTGCATTTCAGAAAACAAAAAAGAAAATGTGGATGAACATTCTTATTTATTCAGACAGCTTTAAAACATGAGTCAAATATTCTGAGTAAAACATCTCAGAACACTTCACTTTTTCAGATTTGAAAAAAAAAAGTCATCAGTAAAGAAAAAAAAATTGAGCACTTTAATGCTTTATGTGCTTTTCTTCCTTAGGCTTGATTAAAAATGAACACCAGTTTTCRCACATAATACAGGGGTTATAAGACCTTGATAACTAGTTACTTGGAATGACATCATACATCATGCTATAACATATAAAGAGTCATATATAGTTACACATCAGTCCTTCATGTAAATAAATAGAGAGAAGACTTTCTTCTGTTTTAATGTGCAATTTTTATTATTTAAAAACAGGTTTATATATAATGAAAGGTTACTATATACTAATTTTCAGTTCTGAGTGATCTGCAGAAGCTTCAGATTCAGTATCAGAACATAATTCAGATGTAATTTTTAGTAAATATTCAACATGGTCTTTGCACTMCAAAGCCAAGCTGTACATATTTTCTGACAGAATAATAAGATATTTTTAATACCATTGCAATTCAAATACAAGGAATCATTTAACCAGCTCTTGAATGTGACCAGCTAAGTCAACAGTGATTTCCAGTACCTAAAAAAGAGCTGTGACAGTTTAASAACAGTGGCCTAGGTCTGAGAGCAGATTCCCAGAGGACTGAAAAAACCGGCTTAGAAAACTGCTGAACTCTAGTTGAAGTTCAGACCAGAAGCTGATCTGTCTGGTGTGCCACGTCTGCAAGAGAAATCCAGAGAGAAGCAGCTGGAGAAAGCAGGAAAGCCAGCAGTTTGGCTAACAGCTGCTGATGCTRTTGCCTAGCAGAAGACTCTGGCTCTTCCTAGAAGAGTTCTCTCAGCTACTGCTGCAAAGCTGTTAAGATATTGCTGTGATAATAAAGTCCTTCTCAAATTCTCTGTCACACAAATGCCTTTTCTTCTTTAAGTATTTCATTAGACTGGAAAATGTGCATTGTCTTTCCACAGTGAATTTAAATAATAACAACAGTGCATTAATCTTTGATATTTTCTGTAGGAGTATAGCATTTTTAATGTATTTTTCTTCTGTAATTGAATACTGAGTAAAAATAGAGGTGCAGAGTGAATGCAGGCATGTGGAAAAGAGAGCAAGTGATTTCTATGTCAAAATATCCTTTGCAGCTATTATCTATCTGTTGATGTAAATTGTGTGGGATATTAGTTTTCAATGAGAGCTGAACTCCAGCTAGGAGCAATCAGTATGGCATTAACTAGTCACAAAYTTTCTATGTACCACATGTCCCGCTATGTTTTACGCTGTCCAGCCATTATCTTGATGTAAAAGTGGACCTGTTTTTGCAGGGAACAGACTAAAATCTCGTCTTTGTTGCCAATCCATCTATATTGGCACACCCTGCAAGCAAAKGCAATGAGAAAAGTCAACATTCGGTTTTTCCACAATAAATCAAGTCAGTTGTTCAGCCTTTGCTTACTAGCATCCTAGAAACAGTAATAGGAAGGGTGAAAAGATTTTTAAAGTTTTCCCTTGTTAAAATAAGGCCTTTACAAATAAGCCTAGTAATTTCATCTCATTTTCCTTAGCAGCTGTAAGGAAACATCTGTTACATTTTATTACACATTTTATTTATTGTACAATTATGTACAGTTATTGTTGAAACAGAGATCATGTAGAAAGTCTACATTTTTAATACTTTTGTGTACCAGAGTGATGACAACAGGTTTGGGTTTTTTCATTGGAAAATTCTTACRATCAAGTTAATTGTGCTCATGTACATTTGCATACAAGTCTGACAATAGAGATCCAACTGCAGGGGTTTTAATCTTCCGAGTTTCACATTTACACTCTTCTACAATCATGATTTCTTTGACCACTGGAACAGAATCAGTGCAGTTGAGATCCAGGCGCTTCATAGAGAACTTGCTGGGCAAGCAATGAGAACAAAAGGTATAAAGATGATCTTCTGAACCAGGAACATGAAAGGAACTACATTTTCCAAAACAGAGATTATTCTGTACTGTTATCTTCTCACAGCTGTTATGAGTAACACCCTGAAACAGAAAGCAGTTTAAGGTTTCTGGTATAGAAACAGTCTATGGACTTCACTAGAAGGCATGAATAGAAAAAAAAAAAAAAGCACTACACTTTATTCTTAGAATAAATAGTGCACAGGCAACATGTATGTACATATATCTGTGTGAAATAAATTTAGTTCTGAATACTAAAAGACATGGTCCTTTACAGACTTGGATTACAGAAATACTGAGAATAGGTGGTGACTTGCAAGGAATAGAGCACTTTTACCCATACTGTTTGCTTGTCTTGATGTTACAATATGACAGAATGGCTTCATCTATGCATGCAATTTACCAGTCCTTGGTAATTCTTAGCAMAAAATTAAACATAAGCATCAGTTTTATAATTAATACAGGGAAAAATAATTCTGCTTAGCTGTAAAAAAACAACTAGCTTCTCCTGTAAATACTTGTCCTGAGACTGTATATACAAACACATCTGTGTGTGTGTGTGTGCGGGTGCGTGTGTGTGGGGGTGTGTGTGTATACATACACACATATATATCTATATCTATTGAGAGAGAGAGATTGAAATTCAGAAATAGTTGACATATATATTCATTGAATGAATAATTAGTCATCACTTCCCTGCTTACTTAGGCTGTGTCAGAATACTTGTGCGTAGAAATAATAAATAACTCTATGAAAATGGAGTGTGCAGCTTTACAGTGCTGCAATTTAGCAGTTTGCCTCATCAGACTAAGCTTTTTCATCRGTCTCCTTCAGCCACCTATCATGGCTGAAGTGTTCTGAGGCCCAGTGAAATAGGCCATGTGCCTTTAGCTGCTGATTACAAGAGACAGGGGAAAAGGCATATTTGTTGATCTTGGATACCTGCTCTTACCTGGGCAAAAGGCAAGGTTCTACAGTTTTCTTGGTGCATTTCATTGGTCTTGATTGGCAGGACAACCCCTTCAGATGCTGAATTTTTCTTTAACATGAAGTGGTCCCAAAATTTCTTGGCATCTTTTCTGTAGGGAAATTCAGACTCTCTCTTGCTGGAGTAATGGGGTGGAGAGAAATTTTCCTCTGGAGACATCTCTCTGGGTGCTGCCCAGGTTCTCAGGTCTTGGTCTGCATGGAGTCCTGCATTGGGAAGAATAAATCTGGACATTTTTTTCTCCTCTTTCTTCTCGTGTCCAGATGCTGTCTGTGGAATTGATACAAAAAAGCTTGGTACTCTCAGGGTCTCATCAACACCTACTGGGTTCTCGCTTACCAGCTCAGAAGAGCTCTGACTTTCAAATAAATTTTTGTCCCGGTAGAAAAAGTGCTGAAATAGCCTGCTGCTTTTCCTGTGATTTGAATTTCTCTGTGTCTCTGTGGCTCCAAGACACGAGAGCACTAACATCTGAAGGAGAAGCAGTGACATGATCCTGGAAAGAGCAATCCTGTAGATCTGCTACTGTTGCAGTGAATGCAGTATGCTAGCTTTATATTAGAGCCTAGTGTCAGATTGTGGCAGAGGAGAGGAGGGCTCAGGGGAGACCCTGGTGTGGCTAATTGCATTCATTTACTATAGATTACAATTATGATAGGGGAGTTTGTGCTAATGAAACTCTGCTTTCAATCTGAGTTATGTGTATTAGAAGCTCCTATCTAAAATCTAGTAACCCAGGATGTTGTGGAGGACAGAAGGAGTCGACAGGAGGAAATGTTTGGATAAGGTGTCTAGTTTAGGCTGAGGAATTAAGAAAACATTTGAGGTTGTGTATTAGAATGTTCAGTGTGGTCTTCATTGTTTATTTTGACTTTCCATTCCATATAGCCAGGGACAGTTAAAACAGGGAGTGTTATTTCATTACAATAGGAAAAGGCAATCTGATTAAAATTTGCTAAAACAGTAAGATTGATCTGGAGACTGTTATTTCAAAAGTTAAGTCTAACTTTGGTCTTCCGGATTTGGGATATGACCCAAGGTCTGCACCACTGACAGACTGGCACTCAGACAATGGGAGGAATCTGTCAGGGAGCACTAACCCTTGCTTCATCTTCCTCACAGCAGGTTTGCAGCTGCTGGGGTGCAGACATGTCACTGGCACAGAGCAAAAGGTCTCAGGGTGAAACAACTGCTTCTCATGTTCTCAAAGATTAACTAACAGTGCCACATCTTGTTCAGGCACCAAAACCACATGAGGCATYCTGTAAAGTTAGAAAACAAAAGGAACAGTTAAACAAAACATATTAGAAAATACAYATTTTATTATTCTAGTTATCAGTGTCTCAACAGAAATACCTAAAAACTACTAGACCTTAAAATTGAGGCATCTTTTGTAAAATTACCATGTTATGCAATGTGTATGAAAAAAAAGCCTGCTATCAGCATATAGGATATAGAGAAGTGTTTTGGGAGAAAGAAAAGTTATTTTTAATAAACATTGCAAGCAGTAATCCCAATGTTAAAATACTAAAAAGAAATTCTGCTTCAGATAATTGCCATTTAGTWATCTCTACACACTACTGTTTCTACMAAACTATCAGTAGACTCTAAAGTTTGTATTATTCTTGAAAATTAATTATTGTGTACTAAGTATATGAAGTTATTTGACTTTAATTTCCAGGGAATTAATTTATTGCCTAGAACTGCAGTTTGAATACTCACATCACATCTGTCTTGGCCATCAATTTGAACTGAATCAGCTGACTTTTGTAATTAAATTTCCTTGTATCTGATTTGTACTGGTAACAGTCACTCCGAACTATTCAGCAATGACAAGAACAGTATATTTTTAGAATTTTTTGAGAAAAAATCCTTTTTTTCCTCTTTTGTTAGTTTCTGGAGAGCCCCAAGACTGGGCTGATACTCAGACCAGTCAATATATGGTATTGTATTATATTGATACAGARGATCTGACACATTTGCCAATGCCTTTTAGACATGAAATCTGGCTGTTTGAAGCAAGATGCATATTTGCAGGTCATCTAAGTATGTCTCTGGTAATGCAAAGATAAAAATTAAGTAAGTGGTTGTTGTTGGGTTATTGCAGTGTTAAATGTTTTACAAGGAATGTATAAAAATCTTAGTATTGATATATATCTATAGACGTTGTGCTGCTAATGTTACATTGTAGTGCAATGGCAGTAAGAAAAAACTTATGCAAGATCAGAATATATTTCTGGTACATACCATTCTATCCTGTAACATAAAAGAAAAAAAAAAAAGTCCTTTGAGGGCTTCAGATGTAAATGCACAAGTTATTATTTAYGTAAGGGTAGAAAGACTGAAGCAAAGCAGTGTCAGCGAGTCACTCTGCAAACTTCTCTGCAACCCAAAGTCTGATAAATGAGCTCTCTGCATTTCTAGGTCAATCCAGTTCTCACTCCTGGGTTTTTTTGGATGGTTTCACCTGAGATCTGATGAGACCCAAAAGCAGCATGCCAGCTCTGGTTCTGCCAAGCCAGTCCATGTTCCTTCATGCATACAGTAGTATACTATGGCTGTTTTCCAAGAAACAAAGTTAGTAATATATGGGACCTGGTACATTTGGCATATTTTGTTCAATGTATAAATAGTGCCTTAATGTATTTTAAAATCAGCTGCCTATATACTGCAGAGGTAGCAGGTCTCTCCTCTTTTCAGTTTAGGCAAGAGTCTGCCTGAATTACAGGAAGACATCCCAGCTCAGAGAACAAGCTTGGAGAGCCATTCTAAAGTTAAAAATAGTCAGCATTTTCAAGTCTTTTTGTGGTGACATCAACTGCATAGACTAATAATTGGCTGGGATTGGACTGGGCACATACTCATTACATTCCAAATAGACCTAATCTCAGATTTCTACAAAGAAAACAATGCTGTTTCTTTTTCAAGACTTGTTTTCCTGCCTGATTACCCTTTCATGTAAGCATAGAGCATGTTTTCACTGTATTTTGGTTGTTAAATCTTGTGGCTATATGCAGCAGTGTCTTTCAAGCAGGCTTTGATTTGCCTTCAGAGTAGTGATTTATTCAGGACATTCTGTTTTCACTAGAAATAGTCACTGTGAATGTTTGCCCATGCTTTTAAAATTGTCAGGTCTATAGATGACAAATGCTATGCAAATGCAAAGTGGTATTATTTATTTGTTTCAAAGCTGGAGTTTTATTCAGTCATTACGAACATAAACTGAGTAATTTTCTATGCTGCCAGTTGATGCCTAAAAATAATTCTTGGACAGTGCTTGAAATTACTTGCCTTCTGTTGAGCTAAATAGTCTCATCATACTATGATTGATGATAAAACCATTAAAATGGATTTTATGTATACAGTCCCATTCGATACCTTATAATTTTCAAAACACATCCTATGTAGACAAACTTGTATCCTGATATATCTTTTACAGATCCCACATGAAAACCTCAAAATTAATGAACTATCACTATGCAGTYTATTCTCCAATAATTATATTTATCAAAGAAGGCCATCTGTGGTCTTTGTTTTACTGAGTTTCAGGGAAACAGATCACATACAGGACTCATGGGAAATTTTAAATTATGAAAMCAAGGGTCTTTTAACAAGTTACGTATGAACTAAACTATGTCTAGTTTTGTACCTCCAATTTTAGATATTCTACATCATGAACTCACCTCTGTTTTAAGTCATTTGTTACATTGTTTCTTTATTCACTCATTTATCTTTTCCTGTTCACATTTCTCTGTTTCTTTTCTATGTTCTGCCAACAGAACCAAGAACAGCATTAAGTTTCATACTATAACCAAAATCAAGGTGCTCACACTTTAACATATTTCTTCACATCTTTAGTGGGGCTGAAGGATGAGTGTCCTTTCATATGTATTGGCCCACGTTCTGATCACTGTAGGTACATACACAGGATGCAATGGGTGGTTCTCTGTTTTTCAAAWTGTTCAGACTGCTCGGTTTTGTGCAGGTGTTAACCTCCTGAAGCACCTGCTGAATGGTAGTCATATGTACTGCGTAATTGATGGTGTCTCCAATTCCAGACCCAGCCTGAGGAGTTTCTGGGATATGTGATTGATTGCTGCAGGTCACTAAGGTGTGGGACAGGGAGAAAAAGACTGGGAAGACCTGTGAGACAGGGAAGAAAGAATCTGGGCAAAGACACATTTCAGTCTTGCTCTTGATATTTCATCCTCATACATTGTTATGGATAATTTGAGAGAGAGAGTTTATTCAGTGAAGAATTTGACACCACGAACAAAATGTTTGTAACATAACCCAAGGAAGAAGATGCAGATAAGATTTTTTTATTAAAATAAAAATCAATATAGACATATCTTAAAATTCTCCTGTTTGAATAAAATTATATTCTTTTGCTTACTCTGCTTATACTCTTATACTTCAGATACCAGATGCTTAATCACAGACTCATGGAATCATTAGGATTGAATGGGACCTCTGGAGATCAGCCAGTCCAAGCCCCCTGCCAAGGCAGGCTCACCCAGACCAAGTGACACAAGAATGTGTCCAGGTGGATTTTGAGCATCTCCAGAGAGGGAGACTCCACAACCTTCCCAGGCAGCCTGTTCAGTGCTCTGCCACCCTCAGTGTAAAGAAGTTCTTCCTCATGTTGAGGTGGAACTTTTTGTGCTTTAGTTTATTGCCATTGCTCCTYGTCCTGCCATTGAGTCGGGCACCGCTTTCCTGACACCACCTTTAATAAATTGCTGTGTACTGATGAGATYCCCTCTCAGCCTTCTCCACACTAAACACACGCAGCTCCCACAGTCTCTCCTCATGAGAGAGATGCTCCAGACCCCTGACCATCCCTGTGTCCCTCCACTGACCCCCTCCAGCAGCTCCTTCTCTCCCTTGTGCTGAGGAGCCCAGAACTGGACACAGCACTCCAGAGATGGCCTCACCAGGGCCCAGCAGAAGGGGAGGATCACCTCCCTCAGCCTGCTGGCCACACTCTTCCCGATGCAGCCCAGGATGACATTGGCCCTCCTGGCCACAAGGGCACTGCCAGCTCATGGACAGCTTGTGATCCACCAAGAGCCCCAGSTCCTTCTCTGCAGAGCTGCTCTGCAGGAGCTCAGCCCCAGCCCGTGCTGGCCCTTGGGGCTGTTCCTCCCCAGCTGCAGGACCCCACACCTGCCCTTGTTGAACCCCATTGGGTTTCCCTCTGCCCAACCCTCCAGCTGATCAAAGTGCCATGGAATGGCAGCACAGCCTTCAGGTGGATCAGCCACTCCCCCAGTTTAGTGTCACCAGCAAACCTGCTGAGGGCACGTTTGATCCCTTYCTCCAGGTCATTGATAAACAAGGTGAATATTGGAGAGTGGACCCAGAGCTGATCCCTTGGGAACACCACTGACTGCAGRCCTCCASCTGGACTCTGYTCCACTGAHTGTGACCCTCTGAGCTCTGCCTTCAGCCAGGTCTGGATGCACCTCAGAGTCTGTTCATCTAACCCACATTTCCTGAGCTTATCAGCCAGGGTGTCATGGCAGACAGAGTCAAAAGCCTTGCTGGAGTTGAGGCAGACAACATCCACTGCTCCTCTSTTGTTGACCCAGCCTGCCATGCCATCACACAAGGCCATCAGATTGGACAACCAGGATTTTCCATTGGTGAGCCCATCCTGACTACTCCTGATGGCCTTCTTTTCTTTTATGTGCTTGTTGATGACCTCCAGATTGATCTTTTCCACCACATTTCCAGGGATGGAGCTTAGGTTGACTGGCCTGTGGTTTCCTGGGTTTTCCCTGCTTTCCCTTCTGATGTTGGAATGACATTGACTTTCCTCCAACCATCAGGCACCTCTCCTCCATTATTTTTCAAAGAAGATGCACAGTACGCTTAGCAACAACAACTGCCAGCTCCCTCAGCACTCATKGGTGGATCCCATCAAGGCCCATGGATTTATGGATGCTAGTCTGCYTAACCCATCTCTAATGAAACCCTTAACAGCCAAGGGGAAATCTTCCTTTCTCCAACTTTGCTCTCTTGCCTCCAAGGTCTGGGGTTCCTGAAGGATGGCCTCAATGTAAAGTCTGAGGCAAAGAAAGAATTCAGTTACAGTGCCTTCTCTGTATCTTCCACCCCCAGTGTATCCACAATATTCCTATAATGCTTACATATGGCCTCTATCTTTTTCCACATTCCATAAATTTCTTTCTTCCATTTGAGATTTGCTAGAAACTCCCTCTCATCCCTGCAGGTGTCCTCCCAGCTTTGGTTTCTTGCTCATGGGGATATATGCACCATGAGTTGGGAGGAATGCTGAATTTTGACCTGCTGTCCTGGACCCCTAAATGCCAAAAAAAAGCCCCYTAAAAATAAACTCTATTGTGTTCTTGTCATTTAACTGTAGTGATATAGAGAACAGTATTRAAGTAGAATAGTTAGGACAGCAAAGTTACCCTCATTACAATCAGCACAGCTTCTTAAAGGGTAATAAGAGGAGAAACCTGCCTCTCTTCCCTGAAGATGACTGAGATTTCTGAGGGACAGTGACTTTTTTCTCATTCTTTTTTAAATCAATAAYCATATTAAAATCCTATAGACTGACTCAAATTCATTCTTGTATATCTGCTTGCAGGCCTGTAACTTTTCTTAGGTCTGTTTCTCAAAATAAACAGCATTATCTCTTTTAAAATAAGCAGCATTTTCTCTTTTAAATAGGATTAACTCATGGTACATATACTGTTATAGTATTAACTCAAGAATAGATCCAAATGGAGGAAGAAACTGAACCGAGAAACTGCATAGAGTAAACAGCACTGTAAGTGCATTTCTGCAAAGCTACAATGCCAAACATTGTAGCTTTTATCACTAGACAACAAGATTTTGTGAGATTTTGAAATAAAGAAATTCATATTCATATAATAAAAGAATTATATTTTGATTTTTTTTACTAACATACATTACAGAATTAAACATAACAATATATATAGTGTCCTAAATAAAAGAATTACAGTAATACTTGTGATGTAAATAATATAGAATCACAGCATTCACTGACTCTTATGCATAATTCTTCCAAAGTTATTTTCATAATTAGAGTGAATAAAGATTTGACATTCAATTAGTGTCCATGTGTGGAAAGAAGATCTGGAAAACTTTACTGATGTTTTTCAGACTGAATACTTGATATATATAAAATTAATAAAAACTCAAATATTTTAGAATATTTTG